TTGCCATTCGCTTATATGACACTTTTATGAATGTTGAAACATTTTGAAAAAGGGTAAAAAATGAAACTGCCTGAATGCAGCAACTGGTTGCCTCCTTCACAACTAAGTTGAGAACATGAGCATAACACCAAATATGCACATGGTGGTCTGCAGCTTCTGTAATCTTTTGTTGCAGTCCATTGTACTGGCCATGATAACTTGAAGCACCATCAGTGCTGTCCGATAGGCAGTGTTTCAAGTTAAAGCCAAGCCATTGTAGCGTCAAATTTAAGAGATCGAACAAGCCTTGGCCAATACCGTCATTGCTTGGTACAATAGAAAGCAGCCGTTCATGCACAGTAGCATCTAAAACATAGCGAACCACAATGCTGAATTGGTCAATTGCATATATATCTTGTGTAGAATCAACTTGTACGGAGTACACTTTTGTTTTGGATACTTCCATTGCAATCTGTTCCTGCATTATATTTTTCATAATATTGAGAAGCTTTGATATAGTCTTACTTATGATATAGTCTTTGATTACTTTGATATAGTCTTACTTAAAAACGTAACCAGAGCACCGCGACCTTTACTGCCGGCTTTACCTTGACGCTTCAGTTTTTCTATTCTTTTGGTTGATTTCTCTTGACACATGGAGAGATGAGAAGCTAAAAGTGGGTCATATTTGGCCAAGAGCTGTACCAAAGCCAAAAAATTTCCATGATTTTCTTCATCATTGTCCAACGAATAAGCACCTTCATTTCTATGACCTCGAAATGGCAATGTTTGCTTACATAAATGTTTAATGATATCAATAACTCGAGAAAGTATTTGTTTCCGTATCAGTACTTCATCATTATATTTCTTTATTGCTGTACTATAAAATCTGTCAAAGTCTTGATTATTCATTATACGAATGTAATCAAGAACATGCAAGGTGAGTGCTGCTTGATTCGTGTTCTGCAACCCGTTGGCTAACTCGTCTAAAATCTTTGAAGCCAGACACAAATGATGAAACGGTGTTAGACTGTGGTGATTCAAATGCAACACAAAATGAGCAATATAGAGACTGAGAATTTTGGCTAAATGACAACTAATTTCTCGGTATGCTATCCTTCGAGTCCGTTTGTCTATGGTAGATCTTGTTATCAAACGGCAAATGTTCATGTGGTTGAATTGGATGTTTGCTAAAAAAACATTTTAACTGCGAACGTGGTGGATATTCAAATGCTGATGTACTCTGCGAATTCGACTCAATATCTCCACCACCTCGAGCTTGTATTATTGCTGATGTACTCTTCAAATTCGACTCAATATCTCGACTACCTTTTGCTTGTATAACTCCTGATGTACTCTGTAAATTTGACTCAAGATCTCGACTACCTAGTGCTTGTATTATTGCTGATGTACTCTGTGAATTCGACTCAATATCTCCACCACCTCGTGCTGGTATTACTGCTGATGTATTCTGTAAATTTGACTCAAGATCTCGACTACCTAGTGCTTGTATTCTTGCAGATGTACTCTGCGAATGTGATTCAATATCTCCACCACCTCGCGCTAGTATTATTGCTGATGTACTTTTCAAATTCGACTCAATATCTCGACTACCATTTGCTTGTATAATTCCTGATGTACTCTGTAAATTTGACTCAATGTAATTTGTACATTCGACTCAATAACCTAATATTTGTACTATATATATATATATATATATATATATATATATATATATATATATATATATATATATATATATATATATATATATATATATATTATATATATATATATATATATATATATATATTATCTAATATATATACTATATATATATATATATATATACTATATATATATATATATATATATATATATATATATATATATATATATATATATATATATATATATATATATATATATATATATACACATATATATATGTGTTTATATTGAACTCTTATTTGTTTTTGTAAAAAAATTAATAACATAAGAATGCCTGTTTATGTAAAAAGATGCTAGTATTTACATTTAAACGCATTTAACAAAACTAAAAGACATTATGAATATCCCTTAATGTTACGCATGCGTACCAATATGTAAAATTTAATATAAAGCCAATATTGGCAAACAATATTTTGTCAATATTGGCATAACAATATCAGTAAAACGATAATGGATAATATTGGCGCAATACTGTTTGCCAATATTGGTAAGACAATATTGGCGTAATATTGCTTGACAATATTGGCACAATATCGGATATCTTGGCCAAGATTAGCCAAGATACCCAATATCGTGCCAATATTACGCCAATATTGTTTGCTACTTGGGTTGTTTTGTCTCTTCGTCCCTTGTCAAAGAATCATTAAAAGTGGAAATCATTGCAACTCTCCTCTCTGCCTCATCATTCACAATTTTCAGTTTCTCAAGCTTTCTGCGCCCTTCCTGAAAACTCTCATCAACATCCCATTAGTCAGGAGTAACTCCAAGAAGGTTTCATAGATTCTGAAAGATTTTAAAAATAGCAAGGATGCGGAATAAGCAAGATCACTGAGGTTTTTTTATCGTTTCTTTTCCTTTTTTTATAACCCAATCCATATTCGATCTTCTACATATTCTTCTACTAATTCATTTCTCTAACAGTGTCCTCTTTTTCATCAGTAGACAACTTGTTGGAAAAAAGTGAAAAGCCAACAAGGTACCTAGGTACCTAGATACCATAGATGGCGTAGGAAAGCTGTTAATGTGGCTTTCGTAATCTTCTCGTTCACATTGTTGTAGCTGACCAAACCATTTAGAAGAGCCTTATCATTGACGGCCGCCTCACAAGCTCGCGGAACCTCTATCAAGACTCTGGAGTAAATTAAGATAATGAAGAGACACACTTTATGTAGACCAATCTCCTCACTTTTTGTCAGTTTTATTTGCTTCCGAAACAACAAGATTTTTATCACATAGATAGCCTTGGTCATCCACCTGGTGTGATGGTATGCACCAGGCTTCCTGATTGGAGTACATAACTCTCCCATCAGAAAATACAACGACAGTTGACACAATTTGGCATAATCATCACGTATATTCTTTTGAGCCAAGCTAGACTGCATGGAGGTTATGGTAGCATCTTTCCAATCTTTATCTACTCTTGAATCCTTGAAAGCACTTGTTTCATCTTTTGAGATGAAGGACCATAATTCTCGAAAACGTATGAATAGCTGAATATTTGGTCCAGATGATGCAGCCATAACTGATTTGAAGGCTGTAGCCAAAATCAGCTCCATAATGTGATGTGGGCATGCAAGATGCGTCAGATGTCGGCCAATTGTACCTCTATTTATTAACAACAACCAGCATGGATCCAAGTGTTGGATGATATAGTGTCAAAGGAAAGAGCTTCGATTCTTTCTTCGAGTTTCCACTCTCGAACAATCCTGACAGTTGCATTAGCTATGGCAGCTCCGGTACTCTATAAAAACTTTGGTATCGCCAGCAGTTTCTCGAATTCAATATTTAGGCTTGAAACAAGAATTGGAAAACGATCCACCTTTAAGCCATCTCTATTTCCTGTACAGTCTGAGAGCAACTTGCGATCCCAGTGTAATACTAAAAAGGTATTCTTCTATTGAACTTCATTGATGAAGGAATCCCTAACAGTGGCTGCTGTGATTGCCCTGCTATGTATCCTAGTATGTCGAACTGAGCTCCTGGAGATTGATCTGTTGCCAAGAGGTGTTGCTGCTGAGGCATTCAAAATGTGAACAGCACGCCGGTCGGAAATGTTGCTACGGTCCAATGCACAAACCAACTCTGGAGTCATTTTCAATTTCTTGGAAGGAGTTGATCGCTTTGATCTCCGATTACAAATTTGAGGAGAGCCATGTTCAGATGACTCAGAGTCTGAAGAGGATGGTGACGAGTCAACAAATTGCCCCTTTAAGCTTCCATTTTTTTCTTCTCTTTCTCTATTCGCTCTTTCATCAGGTTCTCTCGCACTTGCATTTTTTCTTCTTTTTTTACTAGCTACTTATCTTCTCATGCTATTGCCATCTTTCTGACTGTCCTCTGGTCAATAAGGAAATCCTTGTCTTCATTGATTGTGATGAGGGACATTGCATTCTTGTGATACATCATAAAATTGTGAAAGCTCGCCTTTCAATATTGTCTCACTGGTTTTCTGTTTTCTGCTGGTCAGTTTTTCTACCTCAATTTTCCTTAAGTTTTTTATACTTATCAAGAATTGTAACAAGTTTGGCAATGATTGCACGGATTTCCATAACTGGAATACGTGTCTTTGTCCACAAAGTCTCTTGCGATTCTCTTGACTGTTGGTTCCAAAGAAAAAGATATGCTTTAGAACATTTTTTTCTGTTGGAAGAATTAAAATGAATGAAGAAATGATAATTCAAAAAGTTAATTCAGTAATTAATAATTATAATATTACCAAATAAGCGTATTTAAAATTGTAAGTAATAATTATTCTAGAAGTATACTAAGTATAGTGCTGACATCTACTGAATGAATAAGAAATTTCTACAATATTTCTACATTGATAATGAAACACAATTATTATACACAACAAAAAAAACACAATCTGCACAAAAACTTTAGTTTTAAAAACTTTTTTTGGCAAAACCATAAAATATTCTAGACTTTGATATGCTTGAGCAATCCTTAAATATATTTTTTTCAACCTGAAATTTTGCACAGTTGATTTTTAGACCAAAAAGAAGTAATAAGTCAACATGCCTCATTAACTTAAAAAAAAAAAATTTACATGTTAAAATGGACCACACTAATATATATATATATATATATATATATATATATATATATATATATATATATATATATATATATATATATATATATATATATATATATATATATATATATATATATAAATACAAAAAAAATTCAATTTCGTCTTTCTATTATTTCTACCCACAAAGCGTTGTAGTTCTTCAAATGGTTTAAAAAAGTTTACTCCGTAATATAATAACATAATAACAGGATAATTGTTTTTGGTGTTATCTTTAAATATTTATAAAAAACAACCTTGTACAAAACATATAATTCAACTAAAGAGCATTTTTTTATAACAACAAGAATTTTATGTAAAAAAAAGATTAAGAGAAAATAAAAAAAAGTTTGTTTCTCGTGCTATAGATATTTTATTTTCGATGGGTCTTAATATAATTTATAAGCGCATTTGTAGATGCATCGTGTGCAGTAGCTGGAACAGTCGACTGCAGCTCTTTCTGAATTGCGACAGCAAGTTGTTTTCCAAGTTCCACTCTATTAAAAAAAATTATAATTTTTTTTTTGGACACATGAAGACATGAAGAAATTGCTTAAAAATGAAAAAATAAAAATAAAAAACTGACCCCCATTGGTCAAATGAATTTATGTTCCAGATAATACCTTGAACAAATATCTTGTGTTCGTATAAAGCTAAATTTAATTCAAAAAGATTCAACAAACGCAAAAATTTTTACAAAACATACTTTAAAGTTCAAATATAGAAAATTACAAAATATATACAATGTGACATTTTAAGGTAAATTTAAAATATCAAAAACATATCAACATATTAAAATTTTTTTAAAACTCTAAAATCATTTAAAAATAGCATAATAATAATAATAATAATAATAATAATAATAATAATAATAATAATAACAATAATAAATACCTATAAGTAAACCAAGTGTAAATGGAGTGAACTTTTGAAAAATAATTGAATTGGTTGGTCTATTGCCTTCAAAACGCTAAAATGTATTTAATCAACTATTAACTAAAGATTTAATATTAATCATAATTTATTAGTAACCATAATTTATTATTAATCATAATTTATTAATCATAACTTATTAGTAATCATAATTTAGGTGACATGAGATGAAATGGTAAACTTTCAAGAATTGAATTCAAGACTTTCAAAGAATGCAAAATATAAAAAAATTTGGAAAGATCTAAATTCACAGTATACCTACATATGCATACTCATTTAAAATTTGCTCAACAACATTATCGCTATTAAAAAATCTAAAACTTAAATAAACCTTGCATAATAACTAAATTATTTAGATAAATGTGAAAAAACAAAACAAACGATTAAACATTTTTGCTTTTTCATTTATTTTTTTAAATTTTATTTATTGATAAAGCTGTGACTGTATTAATACAGCAAGTGTAATTTACACACTGAAACAGCCATTCACAACAGTCATTCACAAAAATATGTTGCTCAAATTATCGCTCTTTTGTTGATACTTGTCAAGATTGTTTTTGAACTCATTTCAATTTATAATTTTAATGATAAATCCGAGATAGTTAATGATAAAGTTAATGATAAAGTCGACGAGAATCGATTACTTTATCCGGATTTATCATTAAAATTATAAATTGAAGACCTCGCAGCATTAACATTTATTAAACACTCATTTTTTATGAATTTGAGTAAATTGAAGTTATATTAAATCAAGTTCATGAGTTAACAAATTTGTCTAATGATTATTATGAGTTATGTCAAAGTTATATCAAAGTTATATTAGAAAGAAGCTAACAAAAATTTGTCTAATGATTATCTTGGTAAAGCAAAAAAAAAAAAAAAAAAAAAAAAAAAAAAAGTTAGCGAGTTAACAGGTTTGTCCTCTTCATGGTGAAAATTACAATAATCTTGAAACCGCAAAAAATGAGTTGACATGATTTTGCCATGAGGTATTCTCTTTATACTTGAATTGTTATTGATTTTAAAAATATTTAATTTTTTAAAAATTAAAAAAACCTTATGAGGAAGTATTTTCTCAATTTCATGAGGAGAGGTGTTTGTTTTTTGCAATTCAAGACGAACTTCATCTTCAGTTTTTCCCTTCATTAGTGCTTCTGTTTGTGCAAGGAAATTAGCAGTCAAAATCTTAATAAAAAATAGAAAGCATAATCAATAAAGTTAAAAGTCTTCAAGGTGCATAATATAAAAGTCTTTAAAGTACATATTATTAAAGTCTTTAAAGTGTAAAAAGTGTAAAATAATTGATGTAAGATAAGCACTAAAAATAAAAAAGAGATCAAAGAGACTGGGTGGAGAGAGCCAAAATATCCTATTGAGAGAGGGTGAATAGGATCAAAACTTTGACTATAAAAAAAAAGGTATTTAAAAAATAAAGCAACTAAAAAATATAATATGTGCCTTGAAAACTAGTAAAAATGATCAACACCTATACTAAAGTAAAAAAAATATATAAAACCATAACGTTTCATTTGTTGTTGACACGGGTTTACCTCGTGATGAACTCCATTTGAGAGAGGATTTAAACTTTCAACAGGTAATATGAAATCACATGGTATTAAGCGTGATCCTGAAAAAAAAATTATAGGGTTGATAAATCATCATCATCATCATCATCATCATCATCATCATCATCATCATCATCATCATCATCATCATCATCATCATCATCATCATCATCATCATCATCATCATCATCATCATCATCATCATCATCATTACCATCATCATTACAAATGAGTAACTTTAAACAAAAAAAAACCTTGATGAATAAGTTGATAAAAAGCATGTTGTCCATTGGTTCCAGGTTCTCCCCAAATGACAGGCCCAGTATTATAGTTAACATAAATTCCGTCTCGAGTTACACTTTTCCCATTTGATTCCATATCACCCTGCACGAAAATAAAATATTGAGAGATTTATTGGTTAAAAACTTGAATTTATAGCCTCACTATTTATAATAAACGCAATATATATATATATATATATATATATATATATATATATATATATATATATATATATATATATATATATATACATATATATATATATTATATATTATATATTATATATTATATATATATACATATATATATATATATATATATATATATATATATATATATATATATATATATATATATATATATATATATATATATTAGTAACAAGTGTAAAAAAACAAGTGCAACCAAATAATGCTAATTTAGTTTCTTTATATAAAAGTGTTGCATTTTTTCAATTTAGAGAAATAACTATGTAACTGTTTAGAGACAACTTTCTTCAAGTTTTATTCATCACAAAGTTCATTATTTGTACACGAAAATTAATAAATTAATTAAAAGTATTAAAAAAAGTTGATTTCCTTCTGAACAAAACAAGTGCAACTCCACAAAATGTTGACCAAGCTGTATTTCGCTATCAATATTTCGTGGAGAATCCTTGGTTGTCGATTACAGCCTTGCATCTTGGAGGCATAGATTCAATCAGGTGATCAATGAAACTTTGTGAAATCGCTGTCCAGGCCTTTTGGATTTGTTCAAACAGTTGATCCTTATTACAAACACCTTCATAATTAATTCTGTGGTTGACGATCTCTCACAGGTTCTTGATAGGGTTGAGATCCGGAGATTGGGGCGGCCAATTCATCACTGATAGGTGGTTATCTTGAAACCACTGCTTGACTACTTTTGCAGAGTGTTTTGGATCGTTGTCTTGCTAAAAAACCCATTTTATTGGCATATTCCATTCAGCATGAGGTAACATAACATCTTTCAGGATACTTTTATACGTGAAACAGTCCATTATTCCATCGATTTGATGTATTAGATCTAGACTGTTAGCAGAAAAACACCCCCAGATCATTACATTGCCTCCACCATGCTTCACGATCTTATGGCAGTAACGTAAATTGGGGCGTTTTACCGGGCGGTCGACGTACACAGCAAATGCCATCGCTCCCAATAATGTTAAACTTTGATTCATCACTGAACAGGACAGTTCGCCATTTCTGCACATTCCAGTCAATATGAGATGTAGCAAACAGGAGTCTTTTCTTCTGGTTCTTTAGTGAAATCAGCGGTTTCTTTGCAGGGTGTCAAGAAAACAATCCGGCTTCAACAGCACGTCATCTGATTGTTCGGTCCGATACAGGCAGCTCTAATTGCTTTTGTATCTTGACTGATGATATCCAGGGATCCTGCTTGACGGATCTGACGATCATAGAATCCTCTCTAGAAGTGGTGGAACGCGGTCTTCCACCTTTGTTATCTGCTGCCAACTTCCCCGTAGAACGATATTTGGAACATAATCTTGATGTGGTCCATTTTTTCACGCGATAGTTATCACAAATACTTTTTTGTGACATTCCACTTACGCAATCACCAATAATTTTCTTTCTTAGTTCCCATCCAAGACTGTCGGGAGCCATTTTAGCACCATTTTAATAATAAAAATAAATAATCACACTTCTCAAGGCTTACCGTGTTACATTTACCTTGTGATGATACAATAATGCTCTGTGGAACACAACATCTTGGTTGGATGTGGCTGTATTGATGTATTGAAACACTTGTTGTATTTCACTTCTTGTATTGATATTCTTCAATAAAACACTTTGATAAAACTCACTTTAATAAACTGTCTTGATAATACTAACTGATTAATTTCCATATACTGACTGAATTACATGTCGGTTTACATGTCTCTTGTATAGTCAAAATGAACTTGTGTGAACTTGTTCTGGAAGATTCTAGATGCTTCTTTTCGATGCTTCTGGATGCATCTGGATATTTCTGAATGCTTCCAGATGCTTCTTCTGGAAACTTCTGGAAGCTTCTGGAAACTTCTGGATACTTCCTTTAACTATTAAAAAACTTCCATAACGTTGACACGGACTTAAGAAAATGAAACAAACTAAAAAAGTTGCACTTGTTTTGTCTGCTGCAAAATGGCACTTGTCAACGAAATTCTGCCTGTGTGCTGTCAGCTGATTGCTCATGTCATGGCATGCTATGACTCCAGATTCCTTAACTGTTTTCTGTGGTAGTATAGTTCATTTCGTTTTTAAGACATGTAAAATTAGGAACACTTTTTAGCATTGTTCAATGTTGGTTGCAAATGTTTTGTCCACTACTGTATATATATATATATATATATATATATATATATATATATATATATATACACTTATATATTGATGATATAAAGTACATATTTATATTAAACACAAATCTATTCAATTAAAAAAATAGTATTTAAAAAAGTCATTGAATTTTAATTATTTAATTAAATGTAATAAAAATGTAAAAAAAAAAAGAAAAAAAAAGAAAAAGATCAAATCAAATTTTATTGAAAACGAACCTGTTGGAAGTAAGCAGCAAATCTATGCAAATACTATATTGATAAAAATTATAAAAAAAATAATTATACATTCATTCATCCATACACAAATAAAAATAATAATTATGAATACATTACATACAATAATTATATTTTGTAAATGTATAAAAAATAATTATACATTCAATCATTCATACATGCATAAAAAAAATACTAACAATATATAAAAATACAAATTCATTTATTCATACACGTATATAAAAAAAAAACAATATAAAGGTGTGGGACCTTTATATTGTTGGTACACCATCTAACCTGATCATATGGTAGCAAAGCATGTGTTTGGGAGCCAAAGAAATTGTTGTACCAAATTCCAATCATACCCAAAATTATAGGTAACTAAAAAATAGTAGGAAATAGTAAATAAAAATGATGTATTATATTGTCTGAGCGATCTTCTAACTTCAAAAATTTGAATTTTAATCAAAAGATTTAATAGTATAATAAATAACATTGTAAGTTTAAACTCCTTTTGTACTGAATTCATTGAATGTATGAACTCACTGAATGTAAATATAAAATTTATAACTAGATTCTATTTATATTGTTATAAAACTTAATTTAGTTAATACTAATAAATTTTTTTTTTTTAATAGCAGGAAAATACTAAAACTAAGTAAAAAACTTACATTATGTCTTGGCTCAGTTTCTTTAAAGTGTTTATCCTTTGTAAAAAGTAAACAAATAAAGTGATAAAAATTATATAAAAACAAAACAAATAAATGAATAATAAACAATATACACACATGCATACATACATACATACATACATACATACATACATACATACATACATACATACATACATATATATATATATATATATATATATATATATATATATATATATATATATATATAATATATATATATATATATATATATATATATATATATATATATATATATATATATATATATATATATATATATATATATATATATATTGTGCTGGCTGTAACACCAGTTATATTGGAGAAACCTCCAGACATTTGACAACCTTACGAGTGACAAGCAATCGCATATTTTTAAACATTTAAATTCATCCATTAATTGTAAAACACTAACTTATTATGATTGCTTTCAGATTTTGGATACTGCCTCTACCATTAAAAAATCAAAAATAAAAGAAGCACTTCATATTAAATGGGAAAATCCTTCTTTAAATAAACAAACATCTCATTATATTATAAATTTATCTTTCTAACTTAATATATTATTATTATTAATATTTTAATATTAGGAAGTTTATTTTGTCATAATTTGTAATATAATTTTTTTTTCTCTCTATTGACTTCAGTTTTTAAATTTATTTACCAGAGTTTTAATTGCAGATTAAATCTTGTGAAAATGTAAGACTACAAAACATGTCAGGAATAAAAAATATTGTGATTTTTATCAAGTATATATATATATATATATATATATATATATATATATATATATATATATATATATATATATATATATATATATATATATATATATATATATATATATATATATATATATATATGTATATATATATATATATATATGTATATATATGTATATATATGTATATATATGTATGTATATGTATACATACATATATATATATATATATATATATATATATATATATATATATATATATATATATATATATATATTTTATGGAGAACCGGTGTTGATTTTGTTAGCATAATTAGAAAAGTTGCAAATGATGAAATCAGTTGTAGTCTGGAAGGGTAGGAGTTGATTTGTTGTTAAACCATGTCTCAGTGATAAAAATAACTTCAAAGGAGTTATTTTCTGTAATATGCAGAGACTTCCGGAATGGCGGACGCTTTTTTATAACTAATTTCATAATATAAAAAAAAAAAAAAAAAAAAAGAGTAAAATAAGAAAAACAAAATAAAATAAAAATATAGAGAATGAAGAAAAAAAAGAAATAAAAAAGAAAAGACTAAAAAAAATTAAAAAACAAATCAAACAAATTAACAAAAGAGAAAAGAAATGAGAAAAGAAAAAGAAAGACAAAAAAGTTAAAAGTAAAAAAACATTCAAAAATGGAAGGTAATTAAAAAGGAATTAAAATAAAATATAAAAATTTCTCTATTTTGCTCCAAAATTGTTCCGTTTTTGAAAAAATAAAAAATAATTTATATTAAATTTTATAATTTAATATAAATACATACATACATACATACATACATACATACATACATACATACATATATATATATATATATATATATATATATATATATATATATATAATATATATATATATATATATATATATATATATATATATATATATATATATATATATATATATATATATATATATATATATATATATATATATATATATTGTGCTGGCTGTAACACCAGTTATATTGGAGAAACCTCCAGACATTTGACAACCTTACGAGTGACAAGCAATCGCATATTTTTAAACATTTAAATTCATCCATTAATTGTAAAACACTAACTTATTATGATTGCTTTCAGATTTTGGATACTGCCTCTACCATTAAAAAATCAAAAATAAAAGAAGCACTTCATATTAAATGGGAAAATCCTTCTTTAAATAAACAAACATCTCATTATATTATAAATTTATCTTTCTAACTTAATATATTATTATTATTAATATTTTAATATTAGGAAGTTTATTTTGTCATAATTTGTAATATAATTTTTTTTTCTCTCTATTGACTTCAGTTTTTAAATTTATTTACCAGAGTTTTAATTGCAGATTAAATCTTGTGAAAATGTAAGACTACAAAACATGTCAGGAATAAAAAATATTGTGATTTTTATCAAGTATATATATATATATATATATATATATATATATATATATATATATATATATATATATATATATATATATATATATATATATATATATATATGTATATATATATATATATATATATGTATATATATGTATATATATGTATATATATGTATGTATATGTATACATACATATATATATATATATATATATATATATATATATATATATATATATATATATATATATATATATATATATATATATATATATATTTTATGGAGAACCGGTGTTGATTTTGTTAGCATAATTAGAAAAGTTGCAAATGATGAAATCAGTTGTAGTCTGGAAGGGTAGGAGTTGATTTGTTGTTAAACCATGTCTCAGTGATAAAAATAACTTCAAAGGAGTTATTTTCTGTAATATGCAGAGACTTCCGGAATGGCGGACGCTTTTTTATAACTAATTTCATAATATAAAAAAAAAAAAAAAAAAAAAGAGTAAAATAAGAAAAACAAAATAAAATAAAAATATAGAGAATGAAGAAAAAAAAGAAATAAAAAAGAAAAGACTAAAAAAAATTAAAAAACAAATCAAACAAATTAACAAAAGAGAAAAGAAATGAGAAAAGAAAAAGAAAGACAAAAAAGTTAAAAGTAAAAAAACATTCAAAAATGGAAGGTAATTAAAAAGGAATTAAAATAAAATATAAAAATTTCTCTATTTTGCTCCAAAATTGTTCCGTTTTTGAAAAAATAAAAAATAATTTATATTAAATTTTATAATTTAATATAAATACATACATACATACATACATACATACATACATACATACATACATATATATATATATATATATATATATATATATATATATATATATATATATATATATATATAATATATATATATATATATATATATATATATATATATATATATATATATATATATATATATATATATATATATATATATATATATATATATATATATATATATATATTGTGCTGGCTGTAACACCAGTTATATTGGAGAAACCTCCAGACATTTGACAACCTTACGAGTGACAAGCAATCGCATATTTTTAAACATTTAAATTCATCCATTAATTGTAAAACACTAACTTATTATGATTGCTTTCAGATTTTGGATACTGCCTCTACCATTAAAAAATCAAAAATAAAAGAAGCACTTCATATTAAATGGGAAAATCCTTCTTTAAATAAACAAACATCTCATTATATTATAAATTTATCTTTCTAACTTAATATATTATTATTATTAATATTTTAATATTAGGAAGTTTATTTTGTCATAATTTGTAATATAATTTTTTTTTCTCTCTATTGACTTCAGTTTTTAAATTTATTTACCAGAGTTTTAATTGCAGATTAAATCTTGTGAAAATGTAAGACTACAAAACATGTCAGGAATAAAAAATATTGTGATTTTTATCAAGTATATATATATATATATATATATATATATATATATATATATATATATATATATATATATATATATATATATATATATATATATATATATATATATATATATATATATATATATGTATATATATATATATATATATGTATATATATGTATATATATGTATATATATGTATGTATATGTATACATACATATATATATATATATATATATATATATATATATATATATATATATATATATATATATATATATATATATATATATATATTTTATGGAGAACCGGTGTTGATTTTGTTAGCATAATTAGAAAAGTTGCAAATGATGAAATCAGTTGTAGTCTGGAAGGGTAGGAGTTGATTTGTTGTTAAACCATGTCTCAGTGATAAAAATAACTTCAAAGGAGTTATTTTCTGTAATATGCAGAGACTTCCGGAATGGCGGACGCTTTTTTATAACTAATTTCATAATATAAAAAAAAAAAAAAAAAAAAAGAGTAAAATAAGAAAAACAAAATAAAATAAAAATATAGAGAATGAAGAAAAAAAAGAAATAAAAAAGAAAAGACTAAAAAAAATTAAAAAACAAATCAAACAAATTAACAAAAGAGAAAAGAAATGAGAAAAGAAAAAGAAAGACAAAAAAGTTAAAAGTAAAAAAACATTCAAAAATGGAAGGTAATTAAAAAGGAATTAAAATAAAATATAAAAATTTCTCTATTTTGCTCCAAAATTGTTCCGTTTTTGAAAAAATAAAAAATAATTTATATTAAATTTTATAATTTTTGAGTAACAATATGTGTTTGCTTAATATGATTTACTTTTTTATTTTAATATTGTCATTTATTAAGAATTATAATTTATTATATATAATTTATTGTTATTTTTTAATGAAGTATTTATTTTACTTTTATTGTTTTTATTATGATTATTGATATAAAGAT